CTTTCCTTCTTTCTTTCTTTCTTTCTTTCTTTCTTTCTTTCTTTCTTTCTTTCTTTCTTTCTTTCTTCTTTCTTTCTTTCTTTTTTCTTTCTCTCTTTCTTTCTTCCTTCCTTTCTCTCTCTTTCTTTCTACCTTTTCTTTCCTTCCTTCCTTCCTTTCTTCCTTTCTTTCTCTTTCTTTCTCTTTCTTTCTTTCTTTCTTTTCTTCCTTTCTTTCTCTCTTTCAGCTTGTTCTTGTTTCATAAGCGCTGTATCACCCCTTATCAATCTAAGGATATTCTTTTTTATTCTTCTGCTTCCTGCATTGTCTCAGCTTCCTCTGAGTTTCTTTTTTTTTCCTTTGTGTTGGTTCCTCTCTTTCATGTTTCATGAGGTGTTCCTTAGAAGGTCTTGTCTATGTGCATTTCAGAATGTGGCCATACTTGCTTTATGGATTATTAAATTTATAAAACTGTGAAGAAGGAAAGAAGAATCTGAGATTGGCCCTGAGCTTGGAGCTGAGGGAGGGGCTTGTGGGGGGCTGGGGGAGGCGCCTCACCTTCAGGTGACTGCCCAGACACTGGGCTGTTTTCCTCCGGGTCCCTAGGTGTCTCTGTATTATGTCCTTCTTCCTGGTTGGCCACTGAGCCAGTGCGGATTCTCCAGTCTCCTGCCTGAGGGAATGGAGGTTAAGCTGCCAATGTCTGAGGATCTGGGTGCGCCAAGGGGGTCCCACTTTCCAGAGGCAGATTCCACCTACCTTCCCTGTTTGGGGCTGGTGGCGCTCTCTAGCCATCAGCCATGTGAGGCGTCCCTGCTTTCAAACTCCCCAGAAGCAAGCTCCAGTCTTCTGTGGGGGTAGACAAAGTCGGGGTGGGGGTGGTATGCGGATGCACTGGCCGGGGGTTGGGACCTAACTCCTGTACTGACCTTCACGCACTCCTGTTTTCAGCGAGATGAGGAGCACTGAAATGCTTACTGGCAGAAGGCGATGATTCTCTGGTCCTGGTTTATAAAGCGTCCACCCGGCTGCAGAGCAGAGGGAGAGTCTCCTGCACGTTGGTCAAGCCTGGGTCTGACTATGGGGGGATGATGGTCCCAGAACATCTGTCCAGCCCTTTCCCTGAGTTCCCTCTGCTTCATGAAGTCAGACCCATGCAGGTGACAGGTAGCTGGCTGGAGAGAGGGCACTGGATCTCTGTTCTTCACCTTTCACTGTTCCCCCCCCCACCCCTCGGCAACAACCTCCAGCAGCAAGGACACCTGGACCTCTCAGCCAGCACCAAGGGTAAGGTGCACGTGTCCCAGGGTCTTCTACCATCTGCATGGCTTCTTCCCTAGGGTAGGGCTTTCTGGACACAGATTTCCTCGATTAGTCACCACTCAACAAATACTTAATTTACTTACTGTGTGCTGGGAACATATCCAAAGTCTTGGGAATATGGTGGTGAAAAAAAGGCAAGGTTTGCTCTCAAGGAAGTTTCTTTCAAATGGGTAGATGTAAACAGGGGCAAAATGGATAAGACAGATGATAGATGGATAGGTAGATAGATAGATAGATAGCTACGGATAAATGGGTGGATGGATAATAGATACATACATAGGAATAGACAGATGACCATTGGTAGAGATGGAGAGATGTGACAGGATGGATAGATAGATGACAGATAAAGGTGATAGATGGATAGGTAGGTAGATAGTTGGACAGGTAGATAGATAGAGGAAATGTCAGTTAATGGTAATTACTATGGAGGAAAATTAAGCAGGTGTCTAAGGACAGGGTGAGGGTGCGTGGGAAGATGATGGGGCATGAAGAAGGCTATTATGATGCTGAGTGAAAACAAAAAACAAAGAAACTTGTCTTAGTTTGGGTTTTCTCAAAACCAAGTCCTAAGACAAGGATTTAGGTGCAATTAGTTGCAGAGGGGTGATCCCAGGACATATGGTGAGGGAGAGGGAAATGGGGAAAGCCAATGGAGTGGACATGAATGAGAGAGTTGTAGCAGCCGGGCTCAGTCCCACTGGCCACCCTCAGAGAGACAGTGTAGGACATTCCTTGGAACTGGCCCACTGCGTGGTGAGGAAGCTGAGGTCGTGATCCACACACATCTGTCCTCATGGTGGGAGAAGACTGTAGGGTTGCTAATTTCACACAAAGTGATGACAGAAGGCTTCTCAAACAAAGTGTCATTTGAGCAGAGACCTGAAGGAAGTGGGAGAGCCCATCAAACAAGAATCTGGAGAAAGAGTGTCCAGGCAGAGGGTCACTAGTTGGGGAATGAATTCTGTGGCATGTCTGGCCTACTTTGCTCAGTCAGCCATGTGCCCCCAACCCTGTCCTGAAAGCTAGAGATAGCCCTTGGGCAAAGGATGCAGGAGCTTGAGGTGGGAAACCACAGGCGGGTCCAAGACTGTCCGCAGCTGCCAGGAGTTCAAGTGGGCAAAGAGGATACAGGGCAGAGGACCAGGATACATGCCAGGAGGGAAGTAATCTTGGAGAGGACCTGGAAGGGCATCTGCTGTACCCCTAGACTGCAAGCCAGGAAGAGGGTGGGTGGGGAGATTAAACAAAGGCACGGTGTGGGGAGAGGACACAGCATTTGTGAGGAGCTGGAATGAGGGCAGGTCCTGGGACCCAGGAGGTGAGGGGTGAGCTTGGAGAGGTCACTCCATGGAACTGAGATTGTCGAACCATTTAAGCAGAAGAGCTGCTCCCATGAAGGTATTTGAGCATGAGTGAAGACCTTAATTTGACTGAGGAGTGGTTCTAAGGGGACATTTCATCCTTGAAGTTGGTCCCAGTGAGAGCTGAGTTCCTGGGAGTGCTGATGGCTGATAGATCAGCACGTGGGTTCAGAAAGCTGTTTCCGGGGCCAGGGTCCCTACATCTCTCCTCCTCTCTGTTCCTCACCACCACATCCTCCTGCACCTGTCTGCTGGGTCCTGACACTCGAGTTCAGTAGTCTGTGGCCCTCAGCATGGGGTGCTCTGGCTTTGGTACCAACCAGGGGTGATGCTGATACTGATTTTGAGGCCACAGGACCTGGGCACAAAGAAAGATGGGGATGGGGCGTAGCCTGGGCCAGTCGCTGTGTCTCCCACAGATCCCTGCTCAGCAGTGTCCACTTCCTGCTCCTTGTCCTCCTGAAGGTGCCCCTGTTCCTGGGCACGCTCAGTGCCGTCCTCTGGGTCAACAGGCCTCAGCGAGCAACTGGTGGGGAAACAAGAGTCAGCCTGACCCAGACAATCTGCCTCTCCCCTCGCGCATCGACAGCCTGTCCAGAGACACAGCCACTCAGACTAGAGAGGAAGGAACTTCTGACCCTGAATCTTATATCTCTTTTCACCTTATTGCTAGAGACTTATTTTAAAAACTAAAAATTGTAATGAAATATATCACATACACAAAAGTGTGTATATAATGTATGTGTCTGGTGCTTGGCTGGGGAGGACGGGGGAGAGCCTTCCACTAGAGCCCCCAGAACTCCTAACTCCCTAGGAGAGAGCGCCAGGCACAGCACGTCTGGCCAGGGGACCCCGAGGTAAGGGGGCTGCTTTTCTGTGATCTTACTCACCTGAGTACCTTTCCCCCAAGGTGTGGATTCTCAACTTAGGATTTCTTTATTCCTTTATTCATTCTCCGAATACTCACAAAGAGCTTAGTAAGTGCCAGGCATGTTTCTAGGTGCTGGGGGTAGAGCCATCGCCAAAACATGGGCTTTATATTCTAACGGGTGTTTTCAGAAAATAAAGAAATAATACTGGTTTATAATAAACAGACCAGGGTTTATAATAAACAGATGGAGAAAAACAGACCAGAGTTCAGAGGATGGGGTGACAGAGGCCAGGGATGGCCTCTCAGATGACAGCCTCAGGCAGGTGAGGGAGCGAGAGTGGAAGGACTGGGCAAAGGCAGCGGCTGGGTCAAGAAGGAGCCAGGGCGGTGAGGACCCTGAGTAAGCCCTCTCCCCCACTGTGTTGTTTCCTCTAATCCAACGTCAAAAACACTGTCTCCATAAAATAGAGCCTCTTTCTCTCTGAGAAGTGGGTAGAGATGCAGTTTACCTTGCTGGGAGCCTCTCCCGTGTCTGAGTCCCGTGTCAGTCATCAGGCTTGCTGGTTGAGGTACCATGGAGAACTGACTGTACAGGAGAGGAGCCCCCCCACCCCCGCCTATCTCAGGTCCACACCTGGGTCTCCTAAAATTTTACCTGCAGGCTCAGAATTGCTCCAACTCCAGAACCAGGAAGCAAACACCCCAGCCTGAGAATCCCTCGCTGGACTGGGAGCACCCAAAGCTGCTCACTCAGCCAAGCCAGCTGGGCATCTCTGCATTCCCGAGGGTCTCATCTCTTGCGTACTCCAGTACCCTTAAGTCTCTGCACTCAGCGCTCTTAGGCCCCCTCCTTGGGTAGTGCATTCTTAGAGGATCCACCTTATTTTTCTTTCTGTGATTTCTGTTCTTGCAAAGCACCCTACTCCTACCCGAAACAGGAGTCCAAACCTGAGCTCGAATCTACCTCACTCAAGACCAAATATCCTTTTCCAAGGGACTGGAGCCTTTCCTTGAGGTCCAGCCTCTGTCTGGAGGGATCTGGAGGGATGGTTGACACAGCTTGATACTCAAGTACAGAAGCATGTCTGTTTCCTGAGCCTGTGGGTAAGAACAGAAATTAACCAGAGCAGGCTTGTGGCAGTTCTTCAAGCCACCAACAGATGGCGCGAGTGACTGCAGAGATTCACTTCTTCAAGGACTACAAATAATTCTGCTCTAACAGGAGGGTGTCTCGGCTGCTGGGTCCCTCCTGGCTGACTTGAATATCCTGATCCTGGCCACTAGGAGTATTTGAACTAGACCCATTGTATCCTGACAGCCTTTCCTCTCCAGACTGGGTCCTTCCTACAGCTCATCCGCCTGAACCGTCTGAGTAGGGATCAACTTGTCTCCTTG